TGAAACCATGTCATCTGCAACAACATACAGAAACCTGGAGGACATGATCTTCCATGAAATGAGCCAGGAAGAGAGAAATAAACACAGCATGATTCCATGCCTATGAGAATGAGATCAAGTTTGTCTCTAAACGACTTTATCTCCTAGTAGAACATTCCACAGTAGTGAAGAGAGCCTGGGGGTTGGGGAGGCAGCACAGGAACTGGGAAATGGATGCAATGTTACACTCAGATGACAGGAAAAAATTCAGCTGTTCTACTTCACAACAGGATGTCTAGAGTTAACTGTATCCTACCATATTTTCTAAAAAAGACTGAAAAGAAGGATTCTGAATATTGCAACCACAGAGAACTAATAAATAATAATTACACAAGGTAACAGAGATAGTCAGTCAATGCCTTGCTTTCATCATTACACAAGGTACATATGCATGGATTAAAATGTCCCACCCTACTCTTTCATTGTATAACTTTACTAGAGAGCAAATTGGTTTTAAGGACATAGAAATAAACAATGCTGAAGTTCATGTGAGACTAGGAAATGCCCTGCATTTCCAAAGAAATTCTGAGAAATCCAAACTACATTGGATGCATGACACTCCCTGATGTGAAATTGCACTCAAACTCTAGGGACCTGCTTCCACATGGATGAGTGGAAGAGAACAGAGAACCTGTAAACCCACACACCTCATACCACCTGATGCTGGATGAAATACACAATGATCAGTAATGGGGAAAGAACTCCCTTTTCAACAGTCTTGGGGATAAATGGTGAGCCATATGCAGAAGAGTAAGTAACACTAGGCATCTACTTCTCACCATGTACCAAAGTTCACTCAGATGAATGAAAGATGTAAATGGAAGACCTCAAAGTACAAAAATCCTACAAGAGACCCTAGGGAATACCCTTCTTGACATCAGCTTTGACAAAGCATTTATATGCCTAAGACCCCACATGACACTGCAACAACAGCAATAATCGACATGTGGGACCTAATACACTAAAGAGCCACCACACAACACAAGAAATTACCCACAGAGTAGACAGACGACATACAGGATGAGAGAAAATGTTCCCAAACTATGCACCAGACCAAGTTCTAATATCCAGAATCTACCTTAAAGACCTTACACAAATCAATTAGCAAAATCACCCTAATAATTAATAGGCAATGGATATAAACACAGACTTCGCAAAACATGATGATGAGCAACCAAGAATTTGAAAATATGCTCAACCTAATTATCAGAGAAATATAAATCAAAAGCACAATGAGATATATCTCACGCTGGTCAGAATGGAGATAACGCAGTTAAAAAAAAAAAAAAGGACACTGGCGAGGCAGCAGAGAAAGAGGACACTGGTTCACTTTTGGTGAAAATGCAAAGTAGTTCAGACACCATGGAAAGCACTTCGGAGATGGCTCAAAGAACTTGAACCAGAACTATCATCTGACCCAGCAATCCCACCACTGGGGTATACACAGAGGAAAATAAATCCTTCTCTCCAAAACACACATGCACACAAATGGTCATGGCAGCAGTATTTACAATGGCAAACATGTGAAATCAGCCTAGGTACCCGTCAACAGTGGATCAGAAGGCGAAAATGTGGTACATATATACCACAAAAAACTAGGCAGCCATTAAAAAAAAGAGAGAGAGAAGGAAATCATGTCCTTGGCAGCAACATGAAAGGAGCTAGAGGCCATTATCTAAAGAGAAATAAGGAAAAAACAGAACACCAAATACCACATGTTCTCACTTATAAGGTGGAGCTAACATTGAATACACCCTACCGTAAAAGTGAAAACAACAGACACTGGTGACTACCCGATGAAAAAGGAAGAAGGGATGAGGTATGTGCTGAAGACCTATCTGGTGGGCACACCCACTGCCTGCATGATAAGGTTGCTTGGACCCCAAGTCTCAGTGTCATAGAATATACCAAAGGCAGTAACTAATCTGCATTTGTACCCTTTAGTCTATAATACACATAGAAATTATGTTAAAAAATACAAACTTAGAAGCTAAAAGCATGAATGAAAAACACAAACTTTTATAATTATCCAAACAATCTTTTATTGGCATAAACTAAGAAAGTGGACAGAATGAGGAAACCAAATATTCAACCCCAATTTACATATAGTGAACACGTTTTTCAAAAGAACACCAAAAAGATGCAATCAGAAAAAAAGAGCCTGTTCAATAGATGATTTTGAGCAAACTGAATATTCACATACAAAACACTGAAATAGGACCCTTATGTCACGCAACACAAAAATCAATGCAAAATACATTAAAGACCTTCTGAAACCACAAAACTCCTACAAGAAAACATAGGGTGTGCATTATTTTAGAAAAGAAATCCATACATGTAGGCTGCTAAAGGTATTTAAAAAACATTAAAACAAAGGAAACACTCCAAGAAAACACCCATAGACAAGGTAATGGCTTGGCATTTTCACTGAAAAGCTGGGGACCCGGTTCCACAGAACAGTGGAACACATTAGAAGACCCAGATATAAACCTGCACACCTGAAACCATCGATATTTGCAAAAAAAATCAACAAAAATAAGCAATGGAGAAAGGACTCCCTATCAGCAAGTGGTGCTGAGATAAGTGGTTAGCTAGATGTAGAAGAAATAACACTGGGCCCCTATGTCTCACCATGTACAGAAACCAACTCAAAATGAATCAAAGATTGAAATGTGAAACGCTGGGCTGGACACAGTGGCTCATTCCAGGAATCCAAGCACTCTGGGAGGTCAAAGCAGGCGGATGACTTGAGGTCCTGGAGTTTGAGACCACCCTGGCCGACATGGTGAAGCTGATGTCTAAGAAAAAACCAAAAGTTAGCTGGGCATGGTGGCACGTGCCTGTACTCCCATCTACTCAGGAGAATGAGGCAGAAGAATCACTTGAACCCAGAAGCTGGAAGGTGCAGTGAGCCGAGATCACTCCATTGCATTCCAGCCCATATGAGAAAGTGAGACTTGGTCTGTAAATAAATACGTAAATACATAAAAATCCAATACCTGAAACTATAAAAAAAAATCCTGCATGAGAATCTAGCAAATACTCTTCTTGACAGAGGCTTTGGCAAAGCATTTATATGTCAAATCCCCAAAAGCAACGGCAACAAAAACAATTACTGATAAGTGGGACCTAAAACACAAAAGAGCTGCTGCACAGAACAAGAAACAACCACAGAGTCAGCACACAGCCTATAGAATGAGGGAAAACATTCCCCAACTACGCATCTGAAAAACATCTAATATCTACGATTTACCGTAAAGACCTTAAACAAATAAAATCAGAAAAAAAAAAAAAAAACTTATAAAAGGGCAAGGAACATGAACACTTAAAAGGAGGTGTACCAGTAACTAACGAGCATGAAAACATGTTCGATCTCACTGATCATCAGAGAAATGCAAATCAGAAACATACTGAGATACCATCTACACTGGTCAGAATGGCAATTATGACACACAGTCCACAACAACAGAGGCTGGTGGGGCAGATGAGCAAAGAAATGCAGGTCCACTGTTGGGGGAAATGCAAACTAGTTCAGATCCCCTGGGGAGCAGTGTGGACATTTCTCAAAGAACCTAAAAGAGAACTACCACCCAACGCTGCAACCCCACTCCTAAGGATCTATAAAGAGGAAAATCCTTGCATCCAAAGCTCACATGCACTCCTATGTTCATGGCAGTACTACTCACAATGGTAAAGACATGAATCAGCCTTGGTGCCCATCAGCAGTGGATCAGAGAAAGGAAATATGGTACATACATACCACGGAACACTACACAGTCATAAAACACAAATACATGCTCTTACCAGAAACCTGGACAGAGCCATAGGCCATTATGAAGAGAAGGCAAGAACAGAAAACCAAAATTTTCAAAACAGCTACAAAGGTCAGTTGTGAATATTCTCTCCACAGAGAAATCATAACTCTGGAGCTCACAGAGGTGTCAGACACTGCAACTTCATTATGATGCTACGTTTACACAGATCAAATTGTCCCTTGCACCCGCTGGTTATACGCACATACTCTACGGCAATGAAACTGCTGTCCCATTTTGGTAACGTTCATTCTCACCGGAGTGAGATGATATCTGAGTGTGGTTTTGATTGACTTCTTGTGAGGATCAGTAATGTTGATTCAGAATCTTTTACCTGTGCATCCTTCTCAGGTCTTCAGGTTCTTTGGCCAGTCTTACACATTAAATTGAAACAAGTTCATGATAACTTGGCAAACATCTCTAACCACAGCAAAATGTAAATCAAAACCACACTTAGATATTGGTAACAGGTACAGAGTGACACGGAGACACAATGAATCTGTTCTGGTGTTCTATTGCACAGCAGGGTGACTAGGTGACTAGGGTCAACAGAATCTAGAAAATTTTTTCAAAATCAGCTAGAAAATACGGTTCTGAATATTCTCTCCACAGAGAAATAATAATGATGGAAGGTCACAGAGATGCCAGATATGATGATTTGATCATGATACTACACCTACATATGTCAAAATGTCCCTTGCACCCTTGGGTTGTGTGTGTGTGGGTGAATGTATATACCCACACACACACACACACACACACACACACACTATAGAAACAAAACTGCCGGCCGGGCGCGGTGGCTCACGCCTGTAATCCCAGCACTTTGGGAGGCCGAGGCGGGCGGATCACAAGGTCAGGAGATCGAGACCACGGTGAAACCCCGTCTCTACTAAAAATACAAAAAATTAGCCGGGCGCGGTGGCGGGCGCCTGTAGTCCCAGCTACTCAGGAGGCTGAGGCAGGAGAATGGTGTAAACCCAGGAGGCGGAGCTTGCAGTGAGCCGAGATCGCGCCACTGCACTCCAGCCTGGGCGACAGAGCGAGACTCCGTCTCAAAAAAAAAAAAAGAAACAAAACTGCCATCAAATGTTGCTAGTATTCATTCTAACTGGAGTGAGATGAAATCTGAGTGTGATTTTCACTTACACTTTTGTGTGCATCAGCGATGGTGAGAATCTTCTCTTTGACCTGTGCATCAACCTCATGTCTTCAGGTCCTCTGCCCAGTCCTACACAACAAATTAAAAACAAATTCACAATAACATAGCAAGTACCACTTATCATACACACACAAAAATAAAAAACACACTCAAGATTCCATCTCACTCTACATGCAACAGATGCTACAAGAAAAAAGTTGAAACATATGAAAACACAATCCAGTCAAGGTGTGGATTTCCGGAGGAGGCACTTGTCTCCACATGTGGTGGGAAATGGTAAACTAGTATGCACACTAAAGAAACCACTTGGATGTTCCTTGAAATCCTAAAACTACAACTACCATTTTCTCCAGCAGTTCTACTCCTAGGTATATACACAGAGGACATGATCAGGGCATGGAAGAGATTATCTGTCATCCCAGGTGGAATTCAGCCCTATGCTCAAAAGCCAAGAAAAGAAATCAGCCGACCTGTCCATCCACAGATGAAGAGATGAAGAATCTCTGCTACACAGACACAATGGAATACTTTTATACCATCAAAATTCATGGAATCCTATCATTTCCAGCAACATGGCTGCACCTAGAGATATTCTGTTCAATCAAATCAGAAAGGCAGACAAAGACCAAGCCCGCATGTTCTCACTCATGTGGGAGCTGAAAAATTTAACTCACTGAAGGTGAAAATACAGTAGTGGTCACCACAGACTAGGTGGAGGACAGGACCTTAAGGATTGGCAATAGATACACAGAGAGTTACAGGAGAGGAATACATTCTGGTATTCCACTCCAAAGCAGGGCAATGATACTTAACAATATGGTTATGCCGTTTTCAAAATAGCTAACAAAGAGGATACTGAATGTTCACACATCGAAGATATCAAACTTACACGTGGTCACAAGCATGGGAAACTCCCTGATTTTATCCATACTCAAGGTATACAAACAAGTATCAGAATGTCCCAATGCACCCCTAATTCTGGACATGAAGTATAAAACAAACGTTTTATGAAATGTTAACAATACACGGCTAAATGTTCACATGGATCCACTGAAGACCCAAGGAACCTGAATATGCAAAGCAATTCTAGGGAATACAAACTCAATTGGAGGCCACACACTCCCCAATTTCAAATTACATGTAACACCTCCACTCATCCAAAGACTACAGTAGTGGCATAAAAATGAATCCATGAACCTAGGGACATAAGAGAATATAAACACACACCTGTATGCAGTCAACACATTATTTTTCAAAGAATGCCTAGAAGATGCAATGAGGCCAGGTGCTGTGGCTCACACCTGTACTTCCAGCAGTTTCAGAGACCGAGTTGGGCGGATCTCTTGAGGTCAGGAGTTCAGACCAGCTTGGCCAAAATGGTGAAATCCTATCTCTAGTAAAAATATGAAAGATATTATTCAGGTGTGCTGGTGCACAGCAGCAATCCCAGCCACTTGGGAAGATGAGGCAGGAGAATCACTTGAAGCAAGGAGGCGGAGGTTGCAGAGAGCTGAGATCTCACCACTGCACTCCAGTCTGGGTGAGAGCATGAGTGGGACTGTGTCCCCAAGGGGAAAAAGGATGAGATGAGGAGTCAGCAGTCTGTTCAATTAAGCAGTCTGAAATGACTGGATAGCCACATACAAAAGAATGAAATAAGACGTTGACATTATACAATACACAAACATAAACTCAAAATACATTAAACCCTAAACACAAGACCTAAAAGCATAAAACTGCTACAGGAAAACACAGAGTGAGCTTAAGTTGAGGAAAACCTGAATCTAAGCTCACAGGATATAAAAGCAAACAACAGACAAAAGAGAAAAATAGAAAAAAAAGTACTTCCAACAACAGAAGTCAAAACCTCTAGCTTTTGTTATTGACTTTACCTTACAAAAACAATCACTGCTAGTCAGGCACGGTGGCTCACACCTGTAAACCCAGGACTTTGGGAGGCTGAGGTGGGTGGATCCCCTGAGGTCAAGAGTTCGAGACCAGCCTGGCCAACATGGTGAAACCCCTTATCTACATACAAAAATTAGGTGGGCGTGGTGACAGTTGTCTGTAATCCCAGCTACTCAGGAGGCTGAGGCAGGAGAATCACTTGAACCCAGGAGGCAGAGGTTGCAGTGAGCCAAGATTGCACCACTGCACTCCAGTCTGGGCAACAAAGTGAGATACTGTCTCAAAAAAAAAAAAAAAAAAAAGACGTTCAAGTGATCAACCAACATGAAAAAATGCACAACCTCAGTGCAATGCAGCTCCCAAACACAATGAGACATCATCTCACGTTGGTCACAATGGGTAATTTTCCAAAGTCAAAACAACATGCTGGCGAGGCAGCAAAGGAAAGAGAACGCTGCTACACTCTTGGTCAATGTGAAAACTAGTTCACACTGTGGAAACCAGTTTAGAGATTCTCAAAAAACCTAAAACAGAACTACCATCAGACCCAGCAATGCCACGACACTTGGTATCTATCCAAAAGACAATAAATCCTTCTATCAAAAAGAAACATGCTCTCCTGCATTCATGGCCATACCATTCACAAGAACAAAGATGTGGAAGCATCCTAGGTGACCAGCAACAGTGGATTTGAGGTTTGTTTTTTTTTTTTTAATGTGGTGCATACACATCACACAATACTACACAGCCATAAGAAGAACACACAATCATGTCCTAAGCAGCATGGATAGACCTGGGGCTTATTATGTTTAGCAAACCAAGGCAAGAACGGAAAACCAAATACTCAAAAAAAAAGAAAAAAGAAAGAAAAAAACAAACAAAAAGTCTAGAACTTGAGTGATGAATGTCAACTTACAGAACAAAACCAAAGCCAAATTTTTGAAGACAGGAAATAGTGTGATACTATCTTTTGTGGGAACTCTTGGCTTCCCCCAAAATTAGAGAACTGGGGAGAAAGAAGCCTCATCTCAGAATCTGTGACTGGGTTGGAAGTGGAGGCTGGAAATGTGCTCAAGGTCAAACTTTCCTCCTCCCTTCAAAGGAGCCTGGAGTTTTACCAGTGAGCCCAGAGTGAATATTCACCCCACCATCCACCCCAGGAGATCCCTTTAAACCGGGAACGCACAGTGAGGACAGAAACATGAAAGTGCACTAACAAGTCCTGAAAGTTCAGAGGGTGATTCTCGATTTCCCCTTGGCACACAGCAGAAGAACTGTGTCTCTAGGTTCCAGGAAATGCCTGTGAGAGAGCTGTGTCCCCCAGATTCCCTTCATCACAGATGACACCCAGTGCTTAAGCCTACACCCCTTGTGACCAATCCCAAGGAGTGTTGACTAATCTAAACCGAAGGCTCTGATGTTCCACAGGCAGAAAAGAGCAGGTGGACTGCAAAGAGAATCTCTCATGAACGCAGCACCCTCATAGCCCATACAGACAGTTCTTACCATGATGCCAAGAAACTGAAAACAACAAGCCAGACTTCACACATATTTCCATTTTCCTTCTGATTTCATACCCCCTCCTTCACTCCCTCCTCACAAGCAGCAGGGATAACCTGGAGGCTCCTAGGAACCTTTTCCCATTGGTTTTTCCTGGCACATAGTTCCCTACCTGGATGAGTCTCCTCATCACTTATGCTCTCCAGCGTCAAGTCTTTAGAAAGAAAAACACCAGGGTAAGTCATTAGAGAGAGTGACTGACCCACTCCTCCTACGTTAGCTGAAGCTGATTGATGGGCTTTTCTCCCACCCCACACTGCTTCATACATGATCCCCTCATCTTTTTTCTGGATTGACAAACTTTCCTACAGCTTCTTGGGCCAGAGTTCTATACTGGCAGAATCACTTTCTCGAGAATCCCAAGCCTCTTTCCCAGCAGGAACCCAGAATCAGGTTTCTACACACTGAAGCCAGCAAGTTTTTCCCTCGGGAAGCGAGTTATTTCATGGTACATACCGTTTCCTTTCCAAGCTCTTATCTGCAATTATATAAAAGAAAACATTATGAGAATCAGATTCTGCTGTGCACTTCACACAGATGTGTTATTCTCTTGATAACGATAAAAAACCAGAAGACAGTACAGTGATTGAGCCATAGGTCAAAATCCCCAAAGACTAGCACAGAGGATAGCTATAGAAAAACAAGACCTCTATTCACAGAATTTACTTTAAATTTAATTTTATATGCAAATGCACAATGCTTAATCCAAGGAGGAAAACTGGTATTGTGGAAAATGCCTCAGTATTGCAGTTGATAATGCATGCTGTCATTTAAAAGCAGCATAGTGTACCATGTATCAGTTGGGAAGACACGCTTACTGAATTCCAGCCCCACAAAGACAATAGTGTACAGTGTACATAATGTACATTGCCAGGTTTTCAAATCAAAATTAATTGAGAAGTAAAGAATCAGGAAAGCAACATTGATGTAGAAGACAAAAAAGGGGGATCTTACCTGGACATCATCATCATCATCACAATCAACATCACCATCATCATCATCATCATCATCTTCATCTTTGCATTGCGGTGAGCATCTCAAAAACAGGCCATCCTCAGGACGAGCTGGAAGGACACAGAGGAAAGATCAGTGCACCGGTGGTTGGTGACTGTGAGTCACTCAGGGAGCTTTGCTGGATGTGGTGTATGGAGGTGGTTGATATACAAGAATGGACTGAGTTGATACTGGGCTATTCCCCTGAGTGGAAGATGGATGGCAGAGGAGGCGAGCTGGAAAGACATGAAACATGGAGACCTTGGCTTCGTACTAGAGGCATCGGGCAGCAACACAAAACAGTCAACCCAAAATGGAACTAAAATGCACACTGAGGGTCAATGGAAGAGTGCCTTCCTGCCTCTCAAGTGTTTTGAAACTCTTCTAAACAAACAGCCGTTTCTTAGTGTATTCAAGACCGCGTCAGTACACTAGAATCTATGCTGATACTACATTTAGCATCTGTTTTAAAAGATTTATTATTTGATTAAAAGCCTATTTTAAGGGTGAAGTGGACTCAATTTTACCCAAATTACTCTATCCTATTAATCACACATTCTTTTTCATAGAGATCATTTAAAAATTCAGTATTAAAACGCTACAATTAAAAATAGTCATGATTTCCCATTTGTAAGTCTTCTGGAACGACTTCTACACACCCTTTTGGGGCCCTGTGATCAGGGGCTTCAGCAGCTCCTGTGTGACTCTCCCTGGGGAGATTCCCTAAAAATCAAGCTTCATTCAAAGAGGCCAAGCTCACACAGCCTGCTCTACCTACACCAGTGAAGCTGAGAGACGTGACTTTGACCACTTTCTGCCATGAAGATAAGTTTAAAAGTTCAAATACACATTATCTACTGAAATGAGGAAATGTATACCAACAGAAATGAACAAATTCATGAAAAAATGTACAAGAGTATGGGGGTGATTTTTGGTTAACAAGCTTACATAAAAATTATTTTTTTGGCCGAGTACTCTGGCTCACATCTGTAATCCTAGCACTTTGGGAGGCTGAGGCAGGTGGATGACCTGAGGTCAGGAGGTCATGACCAGCCTGGCCAACATGGTGAAACCCCGTTTCCACTAAAAATACAAAAAGTTAGCCAGGCATGGTGGTGAGCGCCTGTAATCCCAGCTACTCAGGAGTCTCAGGCAGGAGAATTGCTTGAACCTGGGAGGCAGACGTTACAGTGAGCCGAGATCATGCCATTGCACTCCAGCCTGGGCAACAAGAGTGGACCTCCATCTCTCTCTCTCTCTCTCTCTCTCTCTAGAGAGAGAGAGAGAGAGAGAGAGAGATGAGATGCCTATTCATTCAGACATACAAAATATTGGTATAGGAAATCAAAAATTTTTATCAGTCATGTTAAATCTAACTTATCAGCTGTCAACATGAAGATCCTAGGAAATAAGGAAGGTACAAATAAGTGGAAAGGCATCCTGTATTTATGGATAAGAAGACTAAACCCGACTAACACACAATACTACACAATGATCTACAGACTCACAACAATTACTATCAAACTGGTAACACCCATCTGTGCAGAAATGGAAAAGATAATCCTACAATTTTAATGAATTTTGTGTGCCTTATGTAACCATGATGACATTAAAAAAATTGTGTTAGAGGATGCAGGTTCATGAGATTGAAATACACACACACACACACACACACACACAAAATACAGAGAGTATGTTTCTAGCGTAGGGGCACTCATAAGTTTCACAGATATAGAGAGCCCAGAATTGAATGAACACACATACAGTAAACTGATCTTCAACAAACGTGTCAAAAATACACAATGGGGAAAGGAAACCCTCTTGAACAAATGATGGTAAAACTGCACATTCTCATTCAAATGAAGAAATAGAATGCTGACAGTGTGCTCAAGGTTGTGCTTCTCCCTCCATTTCCAAGACACTGGAGCTTTTGCACTGAGCCCAGATTGAATTTTCATTTTGTCCTCCATGCCGAGGAAGAGCTCTTGATACCAGAGGTAAGCAGGGAAAAACAGACAAATGAGTGTGCTGTCAGGAAACCTAACAGTTCATAAGGTGAGGATCAATCTCTCCTATGCATCTGGGCACACCACAGAAGAATTCTGTCTCCAGCATTAAGTAACTGCCTGCGATAGAACTCTGTCCTAAACTAAAGGTTTTGAGATTTTGCAGTGGCAGAGGCAGGAAAGAGCAGGTGTTCTAGAAAGATCATCTTTAAATAATAAATAAGAAGAGGTGATCGAAAACACAGGATACTCAAAATCTCATAAACTCAAAAGAACAAACTTCACTTACATTTACTTTTTCTTTTTCTCTTTCTACACCCTCCCTCAGCCTCCCAAGCAGCAGGTATAACATGAAGGCTCCTGGAAATGCTGTGTTACTAGACCGCACTTGAAATCTTCTTACCTACCTAGAAAGGCATCCTCTTCCCTGCTGAGATTCTCCAGAATCCACTCTTTAGAACCACCAACATCAGGATAAGTCAGCGAGAGGTGCACTCACTTCTCCTCCTCCAGGTGAAGACACACGGGCTCACACAAAATCTCCTGGTTGGTCCTCTGGGTTCACACACATTTCTACAGCCCCTCTGCTCATAGCTATACACTTGCAAAATCATTTGCTCTCACCAGATCCCCAATATTTTTTAACAGGAACCCAGATTAAGGTTTCTATATATTAAAGCCAGAAAGTTTGTGTCTCAGAAAGTGAGTTAGTTCAAGGTACGTACCCAGGACAGGTGATGGTAAAATCTGCTACGAGACAAAAGAAGATGCCATGAGGATCAGATCAATTCTGCTGCACCCCTTACACAGATCTGTTAGTCTCTTGATGACTGCAGAAAACTACCTGTGAAACAGTGGTGAGTCAAAGTCAAAGTCAAAGTCAAAGGCCAAACATTCTAGAATAGAGGACATGCATGGAAAAGACAAGAGCTTTTCTCACAAAATTTATCCTTGACATTGATTTAGGTTGGTAAATGCACAATGCCTCATCCAAGGAGAAAAACTGGTGTGGAGGAAAATGCCCCTGCATTACAGTTGATGATGGATGCTGTCCTTCAAAACACCCTAGTGTGTCATGTATTAGATGAAAAGAAACTCCCACTGAACTCCATCCTCACAAAGAGAATAGTGTGTGTTGTACATAATGTGCCTTGTCATATTTTTATATCAAAATTCACTTCAACCAAAGAAGATTAGTCTAAGATGAAAGTTTGCTAGCCTGCAAAATAGCTCGTTTTGTCTGTTCTTCTCAGCCTGCCCAGCTACTTAGGTCATAAGTCAAATACTTGAAGTGCCCCCGAGCTGACTAGGATAGCAATGCATTGTGGGCTGCAACAAAATGCAGTAAGACAACCCTAGAAAAATACCTAAAGTCTCTCCCCAAAAATCAATAGGCAACACCTGGGAAGATTGTGACCCCACAGTTCTCAGCCTATGAGGAACCAGGGGAGGGACCTGCACACTAGGGGATAAATTGCTTGTGGAAACTGTGCTGGGTGTGTCTGCCCATCAGACACCGGATCTTGCAACACTATCATTAAAAGTCTCACTTTCCGCCAGTTGGGGTGGCTCATACCTGTAATCCCAACACTTTGGGAAGCTGAGGTGGGCAGATTACCTGAGGTCCGGAGTTCGAGACCAGTCTGGCCAATATGCTGAAACACCATCTCCACTAAGAATACAAAAATTAGCTGGGCATGGGGACACATGCGTGTAATCCCAGCTACTCGGGAGGCTGTAGCAGGAGAATTCATTGAGCCCAGGAGATGGAGCTGAGATTGCACCACTGCACTCCAGCCTGGCCAACTGAGCGAGACTCTCTCTCAAAAAGAAAAAAAAAAAAAGAAAGAAAATCTCACTCTTGCTGTTTTTCAGCTCCCTGAGTCCATTCTTTGGGTTTGGACTGGTGAGTTTGTTTCTCACATCAGAAAACCAACATTTCCTTAGAAGACAAAGAAAGGTGTTCTTACCTGGACATCATCATCACCATCATCATCATCACCCCAGTCATCATCTTCACTTGGTGGTAGGCATACTAAACTCAGGTTGTCCATAGAAGAAGCTGGAAGGACACAAGAAAGATCAGTGCACCGATGGTTGGTGACTGTGAGTCACTCAGCGAGCTTTTCTGGATGTGGTGTATGGAGGTGGTTGATTAACAAGCATGGACTGAGTTGATGCTGGGCTATTCCCCTGAGTGGAAGAGGGATGGCAAAGGAGGGGATCAGGAAAGACATGAGACATGGAGGCCTTGGCCTTGTACTAAAGGCATCATGCAGCAACACAAAACAGTCAACCTAAAATGGAAGTAAAGCACACACTAAGGGTCAATGGAAGAGTGCCTTCCTCCGTCTCAAATGTTTTGAAACTCTATGAAACAAACAGCATTTTCTTAATGTATTCAAGACTGTGTAAGTACATTAGGACCCAATTATGCTGGTACTACATCTAGCATCTGTTTTAAAGGATTAATTACTTAATTTATTGGTGAAAAGGATTCAATTTTACCCAAATTACTCTGTTCTACTGATCACACATTTTTGTTTGTTTGTTTGTTCATTTGTTAGTTTGTTTGTTTCTGAAATGGAGTCTCACTCTGTCATCCAGGCTGGAGTACTGTGGCACGATATTGGCTCACTGCAAGCTCCACCTCCCGGGTTCACACCATTTTCCTACTTCAGACTCTGGAGTAGCTGGGACTACAGGCACCCGCCACCACACCTGGCTAATTTTTTTTGTATTTTCAGTAGAAACGGGATTTCACCATGTTAGCCAGGATGGTCTCCATCTCCTGACCTCATAATCTGCCCACCTCAGCCTCCCAAATTGCTGGGATTACAGGCATGAGTAGTAATCCTGTCTGGTGCCTGGGATTACAGGTACCAGACAGATCACAATTTCTTTTTCATAGAGGTCATTTAAAAAATTAAGTATTAAAATGCTAAAATTAAAAATAGTCATGATTTCCTCTTTGTAAGTCTTCTTCTGGAACCATGGTGTGTGCACACAATTTTTTGGGTTCCTGTGATCAAGGGCTTCAGCAGCTGTGTGTTGCTCTCCTGCAGGAGATTCCCTAAAGATCGGTCTTCATTCAAACAGGCCAAGCTCACACAGCCTGCGCAACGTACACCAGTGAAGCTGAGAGACGTGACTCTGAAAACTTTCTGCCATGAGGATAAGTTTCCAGGTTCAAATATACCTGAGCTACTGAAATGAGGAAATGTATACCAATAGAAAATGAGCAAATTCATGAAAAAATGTCCCTGAGTATGGGGGTGATTTTTGGTTAACTAGCATACATAATATTTTTTATTTGACACATAATCATTCAGACAGACAAAATATTGGCAAAAGATACAAATTTGGCCAGGCACGGTGGCTCATGCTTGTAATCTTAGCACTTTGGGAGGCCAAGGTGGGTGGATCATGAGGTCAAGAGATCGAGACCATCCCGGCCAACAAGGTAAAATCACATCGCCGGGCGCGGTGGCTCACGCCTGTAATCCCAGCACTTTGGGAGGCCGAGGCGGGCGGATCACAAGGTCAGGAGATCGAGACCACGGTGAAACCCCGTCTCTACTAAAAATACAAAAAATTAGCCGGGCGCGGTTGTGGGCGCCTGTAGTCCCAGCTACTCGGGAGGCTGAGGCAGGAGAATGGCGTGAACCCGGGAGGCGGAGCTTGCAGTGAGCCGAGATCGCGCCACTGCACTCCAGCCTGGGCGACAGAGCGAGACTCCGTCTCAAAAAAAAAAAAAAAAAAAAAAAAAAAAAAAAAAAAAAATCACATCTCTACTAAAAATACAAAAATTAGCTGGATGTGGTGGCATGCATCTGTAGACCCAGCTACTCAGGAGGATAAGGCAGGAGAATCACTTGAACCTGGGAGGTGGAGGTGGCAGTGAGCAGAGATCATATCATTGCACACCTGTATGGTGACAGAGTGAGACTCTGTCTCAAAAACAAAAAACAAAAAAAGAAATCACAAATTCATATCAGTCACATTAAATCTAACTAATCAGTTGTCAACATAAAGATTCTAGAAAGTAAAGAACGTACAAGTAAGTTGAAAGGCTTCCCATATTCATACATAGAAGACTAAACCTGACTAACACACAATACTACACACATGATCTACAGACTAACACCAACTGCTACCAAACTGGCAACAGCCATCTGTGCAGAAATGGAAAAGATAATCCTAACATTTTAATGAACTTTTATGTGCCTCAAATAGCCATGGCAACATTGAAAAAGAATAGTGTTGGAAGATGCACATTCATGAGATTGAAATCTAAAAATAAAAATTAAAAAAAAACAGAAAAATTCAGACAGCATGCTTCCACTGAGGGGGGCACCCATAAGTATGACAGATATAGAATTGAGAGCACCGAATTAAATGCATACATACAGAGTCAGCTGATCTTCAACAAAGGTGCCAAGAATACACAATGGGGAAAGGAAAACGACTTCCACAAATGATGGTAAAGCTGCATATTCTCATTCACATGAAGAAATGGAATGCTGACAGTGTACTCAAGGCTGTGTTTCTCCCTCCATTTCTAAGACACTGGAGCTTCTGCAGTGAGCCCACAGTGAATTTTCATTCTGTCCTCCATGCCCAGGGAGATGTCTTGATACCAGAGGTAAACAGCAAGGACAGACAAATGAATGTCCTGCCATGAAACCTAAGTTCATAAGGTATGGATCAATCTCTCCTATGCATCTGGGCACACCACAGAAGAGTTTTATATTCAGGATCAAGTAACTGCCTGTGACAGAACTGTGTCCCAAACCAAAGGCTGTGACATTTTGCAGTGGCACAGGCAGAAAAGAGCAGGTATTCTCCGAAAAATCATCTTTAAATAATAAACCAAGAAGAGGTGATTGAAAATACAGGATACTCAAAAGCCCATGAACATAGTACTCCTCACCATGATGACATTAAAGTCTGAAAATAACAAATGCGGCTTATATTTACTTTTCCTTTTTCTCTTTCTACACCCTCACTAAGCCTCCCAAGCAGCAGGTATAACATGAAGGTTCCTGGAAATGCTGTTTTATTAGACCCCATCTGAAGTCTTGTTGCCTACCTGGAAAGGCATCCTCTTCCCTGCTGAGATTCTCCAGAATCCACTCTTTAGAACCACCAACATCAGGATAAGTCAGTGAGAGGTGCACTCACTTCTCCTCCTCCTGGTGAAGACTCACTGGCTCACACAAAATCTCCTGGTTGGTCCTCTGGGTTCACACACATTTCTACAGCCCCTCTGCTCATAGCTATACACTTGCAAAATCATTTGCTCTCACCAGACCCCCAACATTTTTTAACAGGAACCCAGATTAAGGTTTCTATATATTCAAGCCAGCAAATTTGTTTCTCAGAAAATGAGTTAGTTCAAGGTACGTACCCAGGACAGGTGATGGTAAAATCTGCAAAGAGACAAAAGAAGATGCCATGAGGATCAGATCAATTCTGTTGCCCCCTTACACAGATCTGTTAGTCTGACTTCAGAAAACTACTTTTGAAACAGTGGTTGAGTCCATGTCAAAGACAAAACACTCTAGCATAGAGGACATGCATGGAAAAGACAAGAGCTTTTCCCACAGAATTTCTTTGAAGTTGATTTAGATTGGTAAATGCACAATGCGTAATTCAAAGAGGAAAACTGGCGTGGAGGAAAATGCCTCTGCATTACAGTTGATGATGGATGCTGTCATTTAAAAACATCCTACCATGTCATGTATTAGATGGGAAGACGTTCCCACTGAACTCCACCCCAAGAAGGACTATTGTGTATGTTGTACATAATGTGTCCCATCATATCCTTATACCAAAATTAATTGAGAAGGAAAGAAATCAGGTGAAGGAAATAGTGTACACAGTGGTCCATTTTTACGACAAAGTGCCTTGAAGTTGTTTAGCTCAGCAAAGGACAGAAGAAATACTAGGCTCCTGGTTGGATGGGCAATGCTGGCTTGTTGGGTCCCCCTTCCACCCCGCTTAGTTGTCCTCACTTTAACAAAGAAGTATAGTCTAAGTTGAAAGTTTACTAGCCTGCAAAATAGCTCGCTTGGTCTGTTCTTATCAGCCTGCTCAGCTACTTAGCTCATAAGTCAAATACTTGAAGAGCCCCTAAGCTGACTAGGATGGCAATGCATTGTGGGCTTCCACAAAATGCAGTAAGACAACCATAAATATATATATATATATCTTGCAAGACCATCATTAAAATTCTCACTTTCTCTGTTCTGCAGGCCTCTGAGCCCATTCTTTGGGTGTGGATGGGTGAGTTTGTTTCTCACATCAGGAAAGTTGCATTTCCTTAGAATGCAAAGAAAGGGGTTCTTACGTGGGCATCATCATTGTCTTCCTCACTTGGTGGTAGAGATTTTAAACTCAGGCAGTCCTCAGTGGGGCCTAAAAGGACACAGAGTTAATGTCAGTGCCCTGGTGGTTGGAGACTGTGAGTCCCTCAGGGAGCTTTGCTGGATGCGGCATATGGAGCGTGGGACTGAAGATTCTGAGACCATTCTCAGAGAAACAACTATGTTCAAGTAGTGAGCATGAGGGAGTCTCACCAGATACCTCGCATCTTAGTCAGTGCCTGGACCTAATAAGACTCTGCATTCCCAAGTCAAAGACCAAGGCTTTGATGTTTGCTGTGACATAGACAGGAAAAACTGATCTTCTGATAACCATTAAACACCACAGCAAGAAAAAAAATGGTTACAAACACAGCACACAAAGCCCATGGACACAAACAGCCTCATCTCTATCTTATTAAAATACAAAAGGAACAAGTCACACTTCTACACGTATTTCCTTTGGTTCTGACTTCATTGCCCTTTTCCTGATTTCCAAAGCAACAGGAGTCACCCAGCTGCTCCCAGAGATCCTCCTAGAGTATCATGCTCTACCTGCAGGTCTGCCTCATCGCAGCTGCCTTCATGGACGGTGTCCATTGGCCAATCTTTAGAGACAAAAACTCCACAAGAAGTTATTCCAGAGAGCAACTTGTCCACCCTCCTACTCCAGGTGAGGCCACACTGGGTTACGCAAGATCACTCTACCCTTCCCTTGGTGTTGTCAGACTCTCCCTGGGCTCTGGGGAGTCAGAGGTCTCTAAAAAGGCATTGCTCACACTGGCCAGCCTTCAAGTGAGAAAGAGGAACTGAAGGAACCACCTTTCAACTTCTTCCTTCCACTGGCCCATTATAGGTCTCACCTCCAATCTCACAGCCCTGAGGTTCCCACTTTAAGGTGCATGCTTTGAGTTAGAGGAGTTCAATAATCAGCCCCTTAGCTAGGCTTACAGCAGATGTGAAAGAACATTCTGTGGGGATGGAAATCTCTCTGCTGCATGAACAGAAGGCTGCTGGGGGATTGCATGGTGGCTGTTGTGAAGTTCTGAATTTTTTTTTTTTTTCGAGACAGAGTTTCACTATTGCTGCCCAGGCTGGAGTACAATGGCATGATCTCGGCTCACTGCAACCTCCGCCTCCCGGATTCAGGCGATTCTTCTGTCTCAGTCTCCTGAGTAGCCGGGATCACAGGCATGCACCACCACACATGGGCTAATTTTTGCATTTTTAGTAGAGATGGGGTTTCACCATGTTGGCCAGGTTGGTCTCGAACTCCTGACCTCAGCTGATCCACCCGCCCCGGCCTCCCAAAGTGCTGGAATTACAGGTATGAGACGCCACGCCCAGCCCTGAACTTTTAATTGTAAATATTTAAATGTATTTAAATATGAAGAGGCACATATATGACTGAGAACCACACTAGAGGGCACAGGAGACCCAGACATGAGGAAGACATGTCCCCCCTCGCCTGGTGTTTTCTTGCAAAATAGTTCGCAGCTCTGCTCCTGCCATACATTTATGGTTACTTAGTAGACATCTGCAAAAGGTCCAGTCACTGTGTGGGTCTGGGGATATAACAATGAGGACAACATCCAGATCCAGAGGGATGCCAGCAGGGGGCACAGATGCACACAAGGGAAGAGCGTGGCCCTGCACACCCTGTCTAGACAGGATCAGAGCAGCAGGAGCCGAGGGCCAGAGGCACCTCACTGTCCTCAAGAGCTCAACCTCATCTCCAGGGACCCTGACTCAGAAGCTGGGGCAGACTCCAGGATTGGTGTAGGGCTCAACAAGCTGGACAGGCTGAGAAGGGAACATTTCCACACCTGCACTAGATCCCAGCCCAGGGCTGACCTAGAATTCATCCCAGGGATGTGTTCACTGCAATGCCCATGGGGCCTAACATGTTCTCCCCAGGACTGACCTCTGGGATAAGGACTAATGAGGAAGACACAGTCACTGCCCTGGCAGGAAACGCCCATAGCCAGGGTTCCTCTATCCAACCTGTGGGAAGACACAACACAGATAGAGTTTGACACTGAAGATTCCAAACCTTCTATAAAATAAATGGAAACTGATGTGTTCTGGATTCCACAGAAGAGTTGCAAGGATGAGCTGGACTCTGGAATCAGTCCCCATCCCTTTGCTGAGCTCCTGGTGCACTGGAACTCGTGTCCCTCCCCACCTCCCCTGCTACTCGGGAGTGCTGCAGCTATAGGCCCAGTGTTAGGGGGTCTGTCCCGTTGAAACACATTTCAGCCAGGCACAGTGGCTCACACCTGTAGTCCCAGCACTTTGGGAGGCCGAGGCGAGTGGATCACCTGATGTCAGGAGTTCGAGACCAGCCTGGCCAACATGCAGAAACCTCATCTCTACTACAAATACAAAAATTAGCTGGGCATGCTGGCCCATGCCTGTAATTCCAGCTACTCAGCAGACTGAGGCAGGAGAATTACTTGAACTTGGGAGGTGGACGTTGCAGTGAGCTGAGATCGCACCACTGCACTCCAGCCAGTGAGATCACACCACTCACTCCAGAGTGAGACTCCATCTCAAAAAAAAAAAAAAAAAGAAAAAGAAAAGACCACACACACACATTTCTGGGCCAGACAACCCTTGGCCAACAGTGTCTCCTCAAGGACCATCCCTCAAGTGACTTCCAGAAGAGGTGAAAAAGAAAAACTCATCTGTCCCAGCCCCAGGAAGATCAGGCCTGGGACCTGTCTGTGTCTGTCCTGACCCTGAAGTCCATCCCTGCTGACTTGTGTCCTGTCTGCTCTGTGTCAGACAAGTGGGGACCTGATTCCTGCTCTGATCCCTCAGCAATTTCTGCTGGTGTCACTGTCATCATTGCACAAAGAGATGGAGATGACAAGAGAAAGCAATGAAACTCCATATTTGAGGCATTTAAGATGATGTCCACACCACACTCTCAGCAGGCAGGAAGGCCAGGTCCTGCTCACTCCTACTCAGAAGGGGTCTCAGAGGTATGAGTACTAACCCTGTGATATTTCTTCTCGGCTCTTCCCTTTTTTTCTTCTTTTTGAGATGGAGTCTAGCTCAGTCACTCAGGCTGGAGTGCAATGGTTCGATCTCGGCTCACTGTAACCTCTGCCTCCTGGGTTCAAGTGATTCTGCTGCCTCAGCCTCCTGAGTAGCTGGGATTACAGGCACCTGCCACCACACCCAGCTCATTTTTGCATTTTCAGTAGAGACAGGGTTTCACCAGGATGGCCAGGCTGGTTTCGAACTCCTAACCTCAGACAATCCATCCACCTCCTAATTTTTTTTTTTTTTTAAGTTCTGCGATACATGTGCAGGATGTACAGGTTTATTACATGGGTAAAAGTGTGCCATGGTGCTTTGCTGCACCTGTCAACCCATCACCTAGGTATGAAGCCCTGCATGCATTAGCTGTTTATCCAGATGCTCTCCCTTCCCCTGCACACTGACAGGCCCCAGTGTGTGTCATTCGCCTCTCTAACACTGTACATATTCTAAGACCACTCCCTTGCTGATGACAATTCTAAGTGATGGGTCATGGGGTGCTCTCTTGCCTGTTTTTGTCTGGAGAGACTGCCTGGATTCAGGTTCCTGATAGGAGTGAGGACCTGGAGTGCAGTGTGAGAAACAGGTGGCTCAGTGAAGAGCAGTAATCATCCACTAGAGTCCCTGGAGACAGCCATATCATTTAGATGGTGTGGGTTTGTAAGCAGGTGGGTTGGAAGGTAGCTAGGGGTGAATCAATGTGTAGTGAGTGTGAGTGTGTCTGTAAATGTGTGTTTTCTCCCCAAAATGTGGCCGCACATGCCCAGCACAGTACAAGTGTTACTTTTCTTGAATTCCTGGCCTATGTGGTCCTCTCACCTCAGCCTCCCAAGTCATGTCATTCTACTAATAGAAAGGAAGAGAAACTTCAGCACCACCATACTCTTTACATAAATGACCTCTTTCCTCCCTCACCACAGCTGTACCTGACTCAGTTTAATATCCCTACTCCTTAGATGGAGAGAGTGCAGAAAGGAGTGAACCCAGATTTTGACCTCCTGAATGGAAGAGGCAAAAGTGAACCCAGAAATGGGTCCCAATGTTGATGGTCTGTATTACTCAACTGTGTCATCACTCAGGCTTGGTGACAGGACCCCACACCAGGGAGTTCCAGCACCTATGTGTGCCCTTGGAACTGTGTGGCCTATAAGCTGCCAAACTTTGCCCATCATCAAATGGGGCCCCAATGGTCACATAACCCTGGGTAGCAAAAGGTACATGGAACAAGAGATGTTGGTATGGACATTACTGTGAAATACACATAGAAAGCCCACAGGCTTCTGGTCAGCTCACAGATTCTGAGAAGTGTAAGGGATCATGTAGAACAGTGCAGGTCAACATCTGTCAGTGCTGGGCTCATTCCTCAGAACTTGGTCAAAGCAGGGAAGATCAGGAAGATACTGTATTGTATTTAATAATATATGACTACCTCAAGCCTTAGAAATGCTCCAATCCATGGCTGGGTGTGGTGGCTCAAACCTGTAAACCCAGCACTTTGGGAGGCCGAGGCAGCAGATCACTTGAGGTCAGGAGTTTGAGACCAGTCTGGCCAACATGGTGAAAGCCTGTCTCTACTAAAAATACAAAGATTAGCCAGCCATGGTGGCCCATACCTGTAATCCCAGCTACTTGGGAGGCTGAGGCTGCAGAATCGCTTGAACCTGAGAGGTGGAGGTTGCAGTGAGCTAAGATTGAGCCACTGCACACTCCAGCCTGGGTGACAGAGTGAGACTCTGTCTCAGAAAAATAAAGAAATAAATAAAAAGAGATGCTCCAATCCATAGCAGACAGACAAGGGCCAGTGCCACATCAGAACTCAGGACAACATTATCATTAGCCTGGTGCCCATCACCCTCACTGGAGACCTCCTGCACAGCTAGGTGAGTGAGGCTCAGCACTCACCAGGTACTGATCCCCGTGATGGACTGTCCCACTGTCGGGGGCTGGGGCAAGCATCAGCAGCCACTGACTCAGTGGACGCACACACAGTGTAAAGAAATTGAAGATGTGGGCTGGGCACGGTGGCTCATGCCTATAATCCCAGCACTTTGGGAGGCTGAGGCAGGTGGATCACGAGGTGAGGAAATTGTGGCCGTTCTGGCTAACATGGTGAAACCCCGTCTCTACTAAAAATACAAAAACATAACCAGGTGTAGTGGTGGACACCTGTAGTCCCTATTCAGGAGGCTGAGGTTAAAGAATCACTTGAACCCAGGAAACACACGTTGCAGTGATCTGAGATCACACCACTGCACTCTAGCCAGGGCAACAGAGCAACACTCCATCTAAATAAATAAATAAATAAATAAATAAATAAATATTTAAAAAAAAATAAGCTACCTTAAGGGATGGTAGAAAAGAAACAATCTGACCCTTACCTGGTTCCTCTATTTAGGTACCAAACTGGCCAGACAGGTCGGCTAGAGAATGGGATGGGGATTCCAAAATTGGGGTATTTGAATTTTCATTGAGAAAAGGGCTCTCCCTTTTCTAGATCAAAAAAGCCTCAGTGACAAAGACAAGAGGCAGAGTCAGCCTTTGCCCCCATGCCCCAGATCTGGGAAAGCTGGCTATGGGCAGGAGGGAGCTGGAAGCTGAGGATGTCTCTGGGGATGAGGTTATGGGAAGGGGGTGAGGGTGGCCACGGGTGTGCCAGAGAGTAAACGGCATCCATGGCTTTTTTACCTGTGGGCATCTTTTGGTTGCCGATGTGCTGCAGTTCATGGCCCTCCGTGGCTCCCACATCCAGCTTGCCAGGCTCTACACTAGTGGATTCTGATGTTGCAGCAGCCACAGCCTCATAAATAACAGATTCATAACAGGGTGCCACCTTCCCCCTGCACCAGCTACAGCTGGAGTTGATACAACAGGTCAGTATACACTCCATGGGGCACCCACACTCCTCTCCACTCCTGCCTGAGCCTTCGATGAAACTGAAACGGTGCTGCCCGAGCAGCCACACTACTGAGGCTGGCACAGCACTTGTAGAAGCAGCCTGACCCCAGGCAGATCTGGGGCCTCAGCCCTTACTCCGCTGCCACCTCCCAAACTGGCTGGTCTATGAGGTCGGGGACCTGCTGTCTTCTTTGAAAAATAAACGAACACGACAAGCGCTGAGAGGCACAAAAACTGCCGTGAGACAGCACAGTCGGAGCTCCTCCTCCTTCCACTACCAGCTACCGACTGAGGGTTGCTGGCCCTGGCTGATGCCTATAACCACAAAGCTTCCTATGTCACCTGCTTACCAGGAAACAGCCAGGTCAGGCTAGTGACTCACAATGTCCAGCCCCACAGCCCCACACAATGCCTCACAATGCCCATCCCTGCTGCTGCCTACCTTGTGGCCACCCTGCCCCTCTGTGGTGATGGCACTACTCAGGCTTTTATTCACCCTGGGCTGCCTGAGCTTTCCAGTCCTGAGGAAAGTGCGGGGGAGTTATTACTGGAAGTCACCCTTGGCAAGAAACTCAATAGAAAACCCTAGTACAACCGGGCGCGGTGGCTCATGCCTGTAATCCTAGCACTTTGGGAGCCTGAGGGGGGTGGATCACTAACTCCATCTCTACTAAAAATATAAAAATTAGCCTGGCGTGGTAGTGGGCACTTGTAGTCCCATCTACTCAAGAGCCTGAGGCAGGAGAATTGTTTGAACCCGGGAGTTAGAGGTTGCAGTGAGCCAAGATCATGCCATTGAACTCCAGCCTGGCCCAAAGAGAGAGATTCTGTCTCAAAAAAAAAAAAAAAAAAGAGAGAGAGAGAGACATTATGTTCATCTGGAAGAACAGGTAAGGCTAAAGGCAGTGGAAATGACTGCAGTGGATGGAAAAGTCTTGTGATCATTTGGGAGAGAGAACAGAAGCCCTAGATGATTAGATGTGGAAGAACAGCGCAAGTAAAAGGAAAAACAGGCTGCTGAGGCTCTAGTTTGAAGGACTGGGTAAATAGCAGTGACTTTCTCCTACACAGAGAATGTAGGAAGAGGAATAGGTATTGGGAATAAGATAGTTTTCAGCTGGGCGCAATGACTCCCACCTGTAATCCCAGCACTTTGGGAGGCCAAGCTGGGCGGTTTATGAGGTCAGGGGTTTGAGACGAGCCTGGCCAACATGGCAAAACCGCATCTCTACTAAAATTACAAAAATTAACCAGGTGCGATGAGGGGTGCCTGTAGTCCCAGCTACTCAGGAGACTAAGGCAGGAGACTCACTTGGACCCAGGTCGTGGAGTTTGCAGTGAGCCGAGATCGTGCCACTGCATTCTAGCCTGCGTGACAGAGCAAGACTCTGTCTCAAAAAAAAAAAAAAAAAAAGAAGAGATAGTTTTGGACTCTTAAGTATTGCATTGAAATGGAGCTCTCTGGTAGAAGTTAGATAGAAACCTCTGTAGGATAACTCCATTCTGTGACATCACAAGTCATGTTTTTAAAAAAAACACATACAAAGTCAAACCATTACAGAAATTTCCTAAAATTTACATACTAAAATATGACAATTTTTTAGTTATTACTTTCCTTTTTTTTTTTTTTTTTTGAGACAGAGTCTTTGCTCTGTCACCCAGGCTGGGGTGCAGTGGCACGATCTCAGCTCACAGCAAGCTCTGCCTCCTGGGTTTACGCCATTCTCCTGCCTCAGCCTCCCGAGTAGCTGGGACTATAGGCATCCGCCACCTCGCCCGGATAGTTTTTTGTACTTTTTTTTTTAGTAGAGACAGGATTTCACCGTGTTAGCCAGGATGGTCTCGATCTCCTGACCTCATGATCCGCCCGTCTTGGCCTCCCAAAGTGCTGGGATTACAGGTTTGAGCCACCGCGCCCAGCCTAGTTATTACTTTCTTAGAGCAACTTTGAATTTACAATCGTAGTGAATGAGGTGTCATGTAAAATAAAGCTGCTATATAAAAATGACATTTAAATTTTATTGTCATCAGAGCATATAAAAAACAATTGAAGCCATGGGTATGGCAGGGATTGCTTTAAAAAGCTGTGTCTAATGAGGGGAGCTGGAAAGAAAGGAGACTTGGGGGCCAGGTGTGGTGGCTCACACCTGTAATCCCAACACTTTGGAGGCCTATGCAGGCAGATCACCTGAGGTCAGGAGGAGTTCGAGACCAGCCTTGCCAACATGGCAAAACCCCGTCTCTACTAAAAATACAAAAATTAGCCGGGTGTTGCAGTGGGCACCTACAATCCCAGCTATTCAGGAGGCTCAGGCAGGAGAATTTCTTGAACCCAGGAGACGGATGTTGCAGTGAGCTAAGATGGTGCCACTGCACTCCAGCATGGGTGACAGAGCAAGACTCTGTCTAAAAAACAAAATAGAAAAGAAAGAAGACTTGGGGAATAGGGAGGTTTAAGTGGCATTAAGTAAAGCCTACAAATGGGAGCAGTGAGAGTCAGGGTACCTGAGTGTTCATCAGAAACGGCTGATCGGGTGAGTCTCATCACAATGGAGCTGGTGTCTGCTTCTCATTTCTCTAATGGCCGTACCTAGCACAGTACCTGGTCAATAGGGACTCAATACATAATACCCCGATGAACACAGAAAAATTCTGCCAGTTCAAAATTATGTCTATACCCACCAACTTCCCTCATGGAGTTTTACTTCTTTTACTTACTGTAATGTTTTGAAGTTCATCCCTCCTGTGGCTTGTATCCATAGTTTCTTTTCTTTGTATAACTGAGCAGCACTCCACTGTATGCAGACCACATGGGTCTATCCATTCTCTAGCTGACGGACACTTGGGTTGTTTCCAGTTGTTGCCTAGAGTGAATGAGGTTGCTGAGAACATTTATGTATACGTCTTTTTTAACACATGCTTTCATTTCTTCTAGATAAATTCCTAGGGCTGGAATTGCTAGGTCAAATGGCTAGTTTATGCTTAACTTCTTTTTTTGCTTTCTTATTCACAGAAAATATTACACTGATACATAATATTGAACATTTTTATGAGGCACATGTGCTGTTTGGTTCCCTGCATCCAACATGTCATCATTAAGACAGTGAATTTGGAGTATGGCCTTGAGTATTTACCATTTCTATGTGTTGAGTATATTTGAAGTTCTCTCTTGAAGCTATTTTGAAATATACAATACATTATTGCTAGCCATAGCCACCCTACTCTGCTATCCAACATTAGAACACACTCCTTGCATCTAACTGTAAGTGTGTATTCGTTGACCAACCTCTCTGCATTCCCTTCTTATACCCGGAGGAGAGAGGAAGGAGGGAAAGGAGCTGTGGGTGGCTGAATTAGGGCCCAGGGATGGCTGTGTCCCAGTCCCGGGACCTGTCCATGTGCTGTGTTGTGTGGCCACAGGGACTTTACAGATGTGAGGATGTGAAGGAGCCTGAGGTGGAAGATGATCCTGGGTTATCTGGGTGGGTCCAAGGTGCGGTCTTTATAAGGGAAAGAAGGAGGCAGGAGGGTCAGAGTGAGAGCAGGTGTGGGGGTGGAGGGAAAGAAAGGGAGAGAAAGAGGGAGGGTGAGAGAAGACAGTGGGGAGAGAGAGAGAAGAGTGGGAGACAGATTTGAAGATGCTGAGCTCTGGCTTTGAAGTTGGAGGAAGGGGCCAGGAGCCCAGGGTGTCCTCTAGAAGGTGGAAAAATCCTGGAAATGGATTCTCCCCAGAGCCCTCAGAAGGAGCCTGGTCTGGCTGGCACCCAGATTTTAGACTCTAGGATTCATTTTGGACGTCTGACTCCACACCAGGGAGAGAATCAATATGTGATGCTTTAAGCCTCTAAATTAGGGGTCATTTGTGACAGCAGCCACAGGAAAGTCAAACAGGAGCCATCGGAGAGACTCCCTAGGATGCCCTGAGTGTCCTTCCTTGGCCCCACCAACAGAAACACAGGCCTGACCACTGGTGGTGCCCCCAACCCTCGAACACCCTGCTCAGCAGGAACCATGCAGGAGGGACTGGGTGTGGCTGGGCCATGCTCTCTCCCCCCACACCTTCTTCTCAGAGAGCAGCTGGAGCCCCAGACCCAGGGAGCCTCACAGAGAAATTCCCATCACAGGACCTGGTTTTCCACCTGAGGCTCAGGATCCAATGGAGAAGTGTTTCCCAAAAATGATGCTTCCTCCAAAGATGGTCAGTGACTTTCTGTGCCAAGCATCTGAGAAAATCTCCATGTCCTAGGACTGCCAGGCAGTCACCTGTGCACATGTCGGAACCCAAATCCCATCAACAGTGAGGCCTTGGGTAAAACACATTCCCATTTTTAATTATGATGAGATGCCTGGCCTCAGCATTGAAAACACCAACTTCACTCGAGCAGACTTGTTTAATCTCTTAGAAATGATGGAGCACACCAGCCTGAACAACTGGTGAAACCCTGTCTCTAATAAAACTACAAAAATTAGCTGGGTGTTGTAGCATGTACCTGTAATCCCAGCTACTCAGGAGGCTGAGGCAGGAGAATTGGTTGAACCTGGGAGGCAGAGGTAACGGTGAGCTCAGATCGTGCCATTGCACTCCAGCCTGGGTGACAGAGCGAGACTCCATCTAAAAATAAAATTAAAAAAAAAAAATTATGGAGCACCTATTGCCGTTCTTGCACTTGTTCCTGGGGAGCTCAGAGCCTATCTTTTACAAGTGTCCTGAGCCTCTTGCAGGCCTTTCATGTGTGTTTCCTTCCTGACTTCCTCCTATTTTTCTCACACCTCTGAACCTGCTGTCAGGTGAAAAATCAAGGTGGGCCCCAAATTTAAGAGCTCATGAATTTGATGGTGTGGGAGTGTCCTAGACAGTCCAGCCCTTGGGGGTGTGGAGTTGGGCAGAGAGGAAGGAGGGCATTCCAGGGGCCAGAGCCAGAAGCAGAGGGACTCCAGGCCCAGAGTAGGATTTCCAGGCTGAGGAAAGAGAGGCCGTGGGTCGGGGGAAGGTCCAGATCAGGACAGGGACAGAGGGTGTATCTGGAGGCTCAGCCAGAAATAGCTCCCTCCAAAAAGCAGGCAGCCAGTTGGAGGGTGAGCTGCAAGGAGGAAGGGGAGGTGGGAGAGAATGGATGGACTGGTGTTCAGTGAGCCGACTCCTCTTATCCTGGCCTATTTCCCCAGGGGACACGCCTGGGAGGCTGTGATCCTCTCCTCCTGGCTGCTTTCCCACTGGTGCCAGGATTCCCCCAACACCACACTGAGAACCCAGGAGAAGCATCAAATTATATGAAACATTAAGAAATGAAGGGAGCAGGATTTCTGGTTGACAAAGGATGTTTATTGAGAGTTTTCTGGGTACAGGGAGAAGGGCTGGATGGCTTGGGATGCAGAGAGACCCCTCCCCTGGGATCCTGCAGCTCCAGGCCCCTGTGGATGGGGTGAGGGTTGGGAACCTATGAACATTCTGCAGGGGCCACTGTCTTCTCCACGGTGCTCCCTTCATGCGTGACCTGGCAGCTGAAGATGTTGCGGGACCTCCACTGCTCGGGCGTCAGGCTCAGGTAGCTGCTGGCCATGTACTTGTTGCTGTTTGGAGGGCGCAGTCATCTCCACACCCTGGGTGATGGGGGTACCATCTGCCTTCCAGGTCACCGTCAAGATTCCCGGATAGAAGTCACTCATGAGACACACT